TTTGTGTATGTGGTTTTTTGGACTGATAATTAGTTAGCTATACAAAGGGGAACAGCTCCCACGGGAGAGAATGAGATAACCAAACACACATGCACATTCAAATTTCTCTAAAAGTACCCCCAAAACAAAACAAAAAACCCCACACTACTAAACAAGCAAACCCCCCCACAGTATTCTGGACAAAGAGTCAAGAATCATTGTTGAATTGGTAACACCTCTCCTGAAATCTCACAGACTTTAGCTAATTATCTCATGGTTATTTAGGAATCTAAAAACAGGAGTTTCAGCTTTTTCAAGCTCTTAGCGCTAACTCTGAAAACACCAAACTTGCCTTTTAAGATACTAACTTTTTCTATACCAAAAATGTGATTTCAGTCATGGTTTGTAGCTATTATGTTTCCCTCAGAGACCTGTACATCTAGACTAGTGGTGCTCAAACTTTTGGCCCCATGGGTCAGATGAATGGCACAAGGCAGACTGTGCCTCCCAATCAGGCAAGGCCATACTCTCCATCCTATGGGACTCCCTACAGGTCTGGAAACTTGGCAGCAGGGGAGCAGCAGTTGGCTGCCACTGCTTCCCTGCCAGATTTTTGGACTGTAGGGAGCCCCACAGGCCAGATGACTTGGCTTTGCAGGCCAGAGATTGAGCACCCTGATCTAGACTGATGATAGCTAGCTTTGACCACAGAGGATATTAAAAAAAAAAAAAAAAAAAAAAGTCTGAGACTGTTTAAAACTCTCAAACATTTGTAACTTAATTATTTATTCTAGATGTGTCAAAAACAAAATATATAATATGTTGTGTAGCATACAAAGGCTTATTTTGGAATGTTAAATGATTATACCAATCAATTCATTAATACTTGTGGTTTTTTTTAAAGTATAATGGAGCAAGTTACTATCTTTGCAGCAGATTTTGAATAGTTGGTATAAGGAAGAAATTAGACAACAAAGAGAACAAAATATTTAATTGTTGGTCATTAAAGAAGTACCACCCATTCTGTGCACTATATAAGGGAAGGGTCCTGTGGAAGAAGTAATACATGATCGTACACCTAAGGACTATCCTACAAATTCACACACTGAGACTATTTAAATTGCACATATTTTTGCATTTGTTAACATGTAAATGATTGCTGCTTTTGAAAAATGATCTATTGAAAGGTCAGTGATGTATAATATACAGATGTATGTACATATAACCATTTGTCTGTGTGTACTGAATATACAAGTGGGCCTGGTAGTACTGCCTAATAATGGAAAGCTTCAAGCACCCTTAAAAGATCCTATTTGCAGCTGCTTGTAGCTTAGTCAGACTTTAATTGTTCTGGCTGAAATGTTTAATGCAAACCATTTAACTTGAGCTATATTTTTTGGAAAATTTAAGCTAAAACGGGTCAGTCATTTATGAATGTGGCTAGAGAAGATGTCTTTCAGCATTAAAAAGAGACAGAGTGACTCTCCCTTTGAGAAAGCAGAACCTCCCTGACAGCTCATGCCTTGTTTCCAGGAGTGTGTGTATTGCTTTCTCTGTAAAAATCTGCTAATTTTTTGCCAAGTTACAAACCTGTGAAAAATCACAGTTCACACATGCTTAATAGAGCTTTACTAAAGCTTAACACCTAAAACTAAGATGTCATCCTTATTGAGCATGCTCAGGCTTTTCTCAGCTCCTAGTGCGGACCAGATTCTACAAGTGCCAGCTTAGTCCTACAGGGACAAAGTTGGACATTTACCTATAATCGTTGTGCACAGTTGCTTTCAGCAAGCGGGGAGTCGGGAAATGAAACAAGGAGGCTACCTCTCCTTTACTGTCTATCTGCTAGCAGCCTGGTGAAATGGTAGAGAGAAGATGTCTAATTCAAATGTAGAGGAACAGGAACCAGATAGACTCTAGTGTGGCAGAGAGCTTGACAAGTAGATTTGGGATAAAATGCCTGGAATTTGAGTCTGGGTTTAGAGGTTGGCAGATGTGGAGACTGGCAAGGCGGTAAAACTGTATGAGAGAAGGAAGGGTAGTGGAGGAGAAGCAGCCAGTGCAGCAGTGGAAAAGTAAGTTTGGATGAGGAGCAAGTGGGTGACGGATTGGGAAAGAAGAGGTGAGAGGAAAGCAAGCATGAGTATAAGGAACTGGGAGGTGTGGGCAAAACTGGGACTCACTGGTTAAAAAGACTGGGACCAAGTGCTATGGCAGGCAAAATCACTTGGATCAGAAGAGAAGCCTTGAAGAGAGACAGATGTGGAGCCTTGCAGGGATAGAATGCGAGAGGGAGAGATCAGGAAGTGGGTATCTCAGGGAAAAGAGTGAACAAGATGTTGGACGTACATTTCTGACAGATTCACAATTGCACTCTGTCCCTTATATAGGAGCGTGGGGCTGCTGGATGGGCAAAAAGACTGGGTATAGCAGGGGAGTTTGGGAATGGAGCAGGGAGACTGGAGAGGTGACCCAAAGAAGAATGTATTACATTTTAAAGTTTGTCTATGTTCATCTCAACCACACAGTTGGTTCCATAAAAGATGTCACCCACAAAAATCCTTGCTTCACATACTTCCTGGCCCATCACAGCTACAACATCACTGCAACACTTTTTGCTCTAATGTGGTCCACAGGTGGTAATACCTACATCTGCTATTTGTTATTCTTTAAGTCAAATGACTAAACCTAAAGATTTCAACCCTATTGATGAACCAATTGGGTATCAGTATGATACCACCTGATATACTTTTTCAGTTTGCTTTGAAAAAATCCTGAGAAATTACACATGTACATTATATTAAATAAATATTATTACAGTTACAAAGTACCTTAATGCTAAAAAGCCAGAATTCAAGTTGCTTGTGCAACCTTAATTTGGCTTCCTTTTGCATATGCTTTATTATTAACTTTATGCAATGATGTATTTTTTTTCTGCATGATTCCTGACTCATTTCAGAGTACAGGTTGGACCATGCTTTGAAGATGAATCAGGGTTGTATAGTGAAAGTATGTTGTTTGGGGCCCTGATTAATCTATTGGAGAAACTGGGAAATGTGTAGTGAATGAGGCAAGAGACTGCAGAAAGGGAAAAGCAGATATATGATGCACTGGAAAATTAAATTATTCCCTTGCCTTTGTCATAGAGTTTCTATACAATCCTGGATAAGTTATTTAAACATAGATTTTGTAGGTCATTGCTAATTATCCATTTCTCATTTCTTTTTTCATGTCCTACTCAAGACCCTGAGTTCTGATTTCGCAAAGGGGTAGACTAGTCATAGCTGCAATTGAAGTCAGAGGGAACTATGATTTGTATATAGTAAGAGCCATATCAAGTACTATATATTCTAGAAAAGCAGGTCATAATTGTTTCAAACTGAAGACCCAAAATTAGTGGATACTTTTGCTCTTATTCTTGTCTTACTTACAAGAATAATACCTTGTTAAACAATACCTACTTACTTCATGTGGGTAGTATAAAATTAATGTGCTGCTGTATTTAACTCAAATCTAAAATGACCCTGAATTTAAGAGGACCCCAAAATAATTAGATTCTATTTATGTAAAATTTTACAAATTGTTATAATTTTCCAGGTATCGAATCTAATTATTGGAGGTTTGTCTTGTATTTGCCCCTACAGGGAAAGTAGTGGCTGGGGGGAGGGCAGTGGCCCCAGCCAGAAGCCTGGGGTTGCTAGAGCATGCCTTCCTACTCAGCTGACACCCTCCAGAATCAAGCTATCTGGGACAGAAATTCAATAAATTGATTTAACCTAAGTCAGTTAAGTCTGATACTACATACATCCAATTTCATCTTAAACCAGATTTGGCCATTTTGAAAGTGGTTTATGTGCACTGAACTTCTGTTGTGTTACAGATTTGAACTGGCTTCTGATCCCTTATACTGGTTTATGTGTAATGTCTGTCCCTAGCCCAACTGTGTCTACTCCAGATACCAACCTCCTCCCCCCCCCCCCCCCCCCCACATACACACCTGCACAAAAACACAAAGGATCAAAGGATCCATGTGCTGAATAGCCCCTCTCTCATGACTGGAACCAGGTGTTCTTGTCACAAGTCCTGAGTGCAAGTGAGGCACAGGTCTACCTGATCTGGCTCCACCCCATGGAGGGCAGAGCCACACTAGTCGCATGAGACAAGCCAAGGCGAGGTGACAGAGCCTCTCGTCTACCTAGACGTTTGGTGATGTTTGCCAGACATTTAAGGCTGGTGAGGACACAAATCATTGGAAAAAGAGAAAGAAAGGTGCTGCTCAGTTGTGGGAGTGAAGAGGTTGAAATGTATTTGATGCAGTGGTTCACCATAAGTTGAAAGAGTTGCTGATGGGGCAGACTGAGCACAATGGGCAGTATGTCCTATTCAGATTGGCTGAATAAGATAAAGACTATGCTACAAATACATACAATGGGACTGAATTAAATTACACACATTTTGGCATTTCTTAATATGTAAGTGAATGACTGAAATGTTTTCTAACAGACTTTGTTTTTGTGGGGTTTTTCTGGTGTATTTTTTTTTAGCGTAATACACACAAATACACAGTGCTGAAAATACCATTTTGCAGAATGTATGATGATGACTATACATCCTAGTGCAGGATTGCATTGGATGCCACGCACAGATATGGAGCTTTGGCAGCATTCGGTGGTTTTGGGGCTTTGGCAGTGGACACTCTCTCCTTATGTTGCTCCCCTCACTGACCTGGGGTGGGTCATTCTGGCCTGCATCCAAAAAAGGTTGCCAGCCCCTGTCCTAGTGGATTGTGGTGTCCTATTAATTTCTCCTGAATTACACGCTGGCATCAAATTCTGGTAAAATAAATCCCAAGTATATCTAGAGTAATTCTTAACTTTTATGGAAAGCCTTAACACGAGTGAATTCAATAGAATTTTTCTACATTTACAATGGTATAGCTAAAAGAAGTGGCCCATTATTTATGTAAAAATGTAATATGTAATGCTGTGAATCTGACTAATTAATTTTTATCCATTTTTCAGTTCAAATCTACCCCAAGTAAGAATGTGTCAGTTGTGGGATGGATGGTAATGATGGCTGATGATCCAGAACATCCTGATCTCTTCTTGCTGACTGATTCTGAAAAGGGTGGGTAACATCAGGACTGCAGTGATCTGTATAAAATGGTTTTGAGATGTATGTGATTTGTTGTAAATTTCTAAGAATTTCTCAGATATGCTTATAATTATAACAGAAAACATGGAAGGAATATTACAGTGGCTCCCAATCTCGGGGCGCAACTCAAATCGGAGTCGGGGGGCCCTGCCTGCAGGGCTCTCCCGGCACATGGTCTGCGCAGCTCTCGCCGCCACTGCCTGCCACAATCCTGGCCCAGCCCAGGCTCTGCCGGTGCCATCGGGCATAAGTGAGATGAAGGTGGGAGTCACAGCCTGGATTTAGGATAGCAGCAAAAAAAAGGTTGGGAGCCACTGCAATATTGAAACTTTAAGCCATTCTTTAATTTGTAAATTCTCATCTCCTTTTTTCTGCCTTAAATTCTTTGACAAGTGATCCTTTTACCACCTCTTCTCATATTTTTAAGATGTTTACAAAACTGTAGCTCCAAACTCTTACCTTTCTAGATTAGATGTTTTTCAGGAATAATACAGAAAATTCATTGGCTTGATGCAAGCTTTTAATCATTCTTAAGCCATTAGGAGTCATTTTGCATGTATATGAAAAAATAAATATTGAACTACACAGATGTTCCCCGCTTTGCCCTGCGCACATATCGAGGGGCGCACACCCCCCATGCCCTCTTGGAGTGCGTGCAGTGGCAGGAGTCGGGATGGAGCACGGGACAGAGCCACAGCTCGTCCAGGGGAGAAGGGCGGCAGTAGCTCCCACTGCTTAGCGCATGCCAGGAGGGCATAGGAGCATGTGTCCCTGGATCTGGGTGGAGCAGGGCAGGATGGGGCTGGGGCTGTGCCGGGCTGCACTCATGGCAGCTGACACTGGGAGGGGGCTATGGGGCGGGGGGGGTGAAGCCACCCTAGAATTTGCTGTAACCTCCCCTCAAGCCCCTTCCCAGCACTACTGCCGCTTCTCCTGAGTGCAGCACAGCTCAGCCCCTGCTGGGAACAGCCTGGTGCTGGCCCCAGCCTGTGGTGGCAGCCTGCCCTCCTCCATGCAGATCCAAGGGTACACATCCCTGTACCCTCCCAGGGGTGAGCATAGCTGCAGGGGCTGCCCCATGTGGCTCAGTCCTGCACCCTGCCTTGACTGGACAGCCCCTGCCCTGGCCCCACTCCCTCCCCCACCACTGGGCCAGCCCACTGTCACCCAGCAGGCAGATCTGGGGGCACACATGCCCATGCCCTCCCAGGGTGCAAGCACTGGAAGGAGCCACCGCCCCCTCCCCATG